TGGGGCGGTGAAGGATTGGGGAGTGTGCGCGATGGGGGAAAACTCCGGGAGTCCGGGGGAGAAGAATGGGCGCGGGACGGGATGGGAAATCGATTTCGATTTCGATTTCGATTTCGAGTTCGAGTTCGAGTTCGAGTTGAAATCGATTTCGATTTCGATGTCGATTTGGAATCGATTTCGATTTCGATGTCGAATTGGAATCGATTTCGATGTCGATTTGAAATCGATTTCGAATGGGAAATGATTTCGATTTGAAAGGGAAAGAAAAGACTTAGGGAGGGTGAAGAAGAATGGAAAGGAAGAAGAAGAAGATGAGAAGAAGAAGAAGGAATAGAAATAAGTAAAAAAAAAAAAAAAAAAATTGTTGCTTACCTGGCAACGGCGACAACGAGGATCCGGGCAGCGACGAGGAGCGTGGCAACGATGACGTTGCGCGTCAGCTATGATGCTGTCGTGGCACGACGATGGCGATGACGTGGCAGCGCCGAGGATGATGGCAACGATGTTGATCACGTGGCGGCGGCGTCGAAGGTCACGGCGGCGATGGAGGAGCGAACCGCCCCGATACCAGTGTAACGAGCGAGAGGCTGAGGGAGACAGGGAGAGCCGGGAGAGGAGAGAGAGAGGGAGAGAGTGAGAGCACACACACACACTCACTCCCTCCACACGTCTGAGGGTCGAACGCAGACACAGGGGCAAGGACACAAAGTCGAAGTCTTGGATTCCGAATGCCGAACAGGAGCAAGTCACACTGAGTCCGATTACAGCAGCAGAAAACTTGGTACGAGACCCCCTCCCGTTCTGTACGGGGCACCGGTATAAGTACCGGGTGTCCGATACAGTACCGGGGGCAGTTCTGCAAAAGCCCGGAGGGCAGAACTGAAAAGTGCGGTATTTGAAAGTGGCGCCCGAATTGCAGCATGGCGCCAGTTGTCCAAAATCCTACGGTACCAAAGGAGGGGTTTGGAAAAAGGGTGCCAGGGCAAAAACGGGATGCAGCCGAAACAGCAAAAAGATAGACCAGGGATCGAGCCCTGGCGGAGTCCGTAACACTGTGAGGACGAACAGCCGAAGCCAAAACTTCCACGTGGCAGGCCTCAGAAGAACACGACCGCCGGTCCGGCTGCAAAGCCGAAAAAAAAAAACAGTGGTGCCTCGCAAAAAAATTGTCGAGGATGACCCCAAATCCAACAACTGCAGCAAGCAGTTGGCCGAAGATGACGGTGACACCACTGACTGAGATGGTGTGTTTGCGCGCGCGTGTGTGTGTGTGTGTGTGTGTGTGTGTGTGTGTGTGAGGCAGGATACTACTGCGACGCTAATTGCGGCGAGTTGTGCTTGAAAATGCGATCAAAAGTATACCATCAGAAGGCTGAGTGATCCACATCGTATGGAGAAGGCTCATTCATCCCGTACACAAAAGCAACAGAAGTGCATACATCGACCTCTATCTTTCACCAATCCTACGAACACCACAGGACATTGGCCCGAAGGCATTAGGCCACAAGACCGCAAATGGAAAGCGAAAGACGATCACAACTAAAAAAAAACGACATAAGACAATTGACAAGGCACAGAACAACGTGCAACAGCGAAAGGTTGGAGGGCAAGGGAGAGGCAGGTGGGCAGGCAGACAGCACAAAACAACAAAGCACACTGGGTGAAAGGCATGGGGTAGACAGATGGGCAAGCAAACAGCGTAAGGCAGCGAGGGAAACAACAGCAAGACAAACGACAACAATGCAAAAACAACACCCGAAAAAAATACAAGTATACACAAACCAAAGACTGAAAAAAATACAAGTATACACAAAGCAAAGACTGAAGAAAATACAAGTATAAACAAAGCAAAGACTGAAAAAAATAAAACTGATGATAGATTGTTTCGTCGGAGTTGCACCGACTCATCAGGAGGCTGAACCCTCGACAATCTGTGGAATCTCCGTTTTTGATGGTTTGGGTCATGAACCCTTTGACCCTTGTTGAAGGCAGACTGTCCCCAAGCGGAACATAGCAGCAGGCAGCAACCCTGTGGAGCACCAGGCAACATACTAGAGGCAACACGGCTGCACAATGCCAAAAACGACTGCAAGGAACGGCATGGCATGCAGGGCATGCAGTGTGGCAACCATGTAGTGAAGCACAAGACAACACAAGCAAGGCCACAACACTGCAGGGGACGACAGGGTGAGTGGACCAGCAGCTCGGCTACCATGGAGCGGAGCACAAGGCACCGACAACAAGGCAACCAACCTGCAGGGCACACAAGCTGCAAACACGGAAGGCACGGCCAGCGGATGAGCAGCACAGCAGCGAAGCAGCGAAGCGCAAGGCGACACCAACAACACGGCCAGACCGCACAGTGAACACATCAACCTGCAAAGAACCACATGCGAAGCAAGCGGGACAGGCAGCAGTGCAGCGGTGGAGCGCAGACGAGGACGTCTACACGTCCAACACGGAGCAAAGCAGCACATGACCTACTCACATCACAATTTAACCCCGCAAACTGTTGGTTCCCACCACCCACTGAGCCAGGGAGTCACTCCGACGAACATCCGTCATCACCGACAGGCAACACAGACATCCCGAACCGAGCGGCCCCCATAAGAGTGCAGTAGGCACTCCAAACGAGGAATCACCGACTGTTTGGCACTACTAAAGGGTGCTCAGTTGGGCACACAAAAAAATACTCAGAAAACATCAGGGGGGGGGCAGACAACACACTAAAGACTGACATACATAAAACTGATTGTGTGTGTGTGTGTGTGTGTGTGTGTGTGTGTGTGAGAGAGAGAGAGAGAGAGGGAGAGAGAGAGATGGTTCGAATGTGGATCGATATTGGCCATATGCACCTGGACTCATAGATTTCGTGCAAGTTCTCAGTCTGCAAGTCTTCTCCTTCTTCTTCTTCTCGTCAGTCTTCTTCCTTTTCTGTCAGTCTTGTTCTTCTTCAGAATGAAAGGGTCGATAACATGCATGCAGCAGACATCAGAGCAGCAGGCAACAAACATGCAGAGCCCCCAACCCAGTACATATCAGATGACATACATTCAGCATACAGCAGGCAACATACATGCAGAGCTCCCAACCCCCAGACACCCCCCCCAACCGCAGCACCCCCCTCCCAGACCAACCCGCCCACCCGCACCCCCAAACCAAAATTTTATTGCGTATTCAGGGTCCTCTCGCCGAGCGCGGAACGCCTCCGGTTTCAAAAAAAAAAAAAAAAAAATCTCGGCGTTTTTTTGGCCTGCCCGGCTTACCCAGGCGGCCCCTCCGGGCCCAACTGGCCAGGCCGAGCCCGGCCAGGCGGTGTCCTCACTCAGGAAAACTCCGAAAAACAACCATGTTATGCAGAAAAATAAACTGAGCAACTTTTTGGCCCGGCGGGCAAGTGGCCCCGGGCCACACTGGTAGCCTTTATTTATTTTTACAGTACACAAGAATGGGAAAGCTGCACGTACAATCCTTGTGCACACGGGTACCACTTTTTATTCGTTTTATTAACTTTTTTTCTTTCCTTTTTCCATTTGATTCTGTTCATCTGGTTGCAGCTGGATTTGAACTGGCGTCTGCATTTTAATAACTCATGGTTGTGTACTAACTGAGCTAGGCCCATTGGTGAAAATGTAATGAACCCAGTCTGAAGGAAACTCGTCAAGTGTCGAAATACAAGATAACTCAGCGCTGACAAATGTCTCTAGTAATCGTGAAATGTGATCTGTATATGATTCTGTAATACAATGTCTCGTAACCAGAGGACAAAGGAGGAGAGGGGGAGGATAGACTTAGAGGGCGGAAGAGAAAGTATCCATCAATGTCCACGTAGATAGAAACCCCTCATTCCCCTCTTCAGCTTCGGGCATCTCCCCTCCTCCACGTCAGCAAACAGTGAACCAGAAACGAGCCTGACGAGATCTGATCACGACGAAGTGCCACGTAGGCACAGTTCTGCCATGAAGACGTCTCTGCAGCGTGCAATGTCGACAGCATCAACAGGTTAGTCCCCTCTCTCTTACTCAATCAATCTCACAGATCCCGATCTCCCTCCTTGTCGCATCCCAATCAGCAATGAAGACAGTGTGGCATGTGCCACGCCAGCATTGTCGAAGACAGCGAGGCAAGTGCCACGTCAGCATACAAGAAGACAGCTGGCGCCAGAAGCAGAGAGGCGCCAGCACGCGAATGAAGCAGTCTCGCATCGTCGTCGCGCAATGCCAGCGCAGAGCCAGCATCTCGCCAGCGTCCAGCCAACGTCAAGTCAGCAAGGCAAGGCTGAATGTTGACTCCCAGGGGCAGGGTCAATAAGTAGTGTTGACGAAGTTGACCTGCCTCTGGTCTCCCACCTATGGAGGCTCAGATTGACTCCCAGCCGACGGCCTGGATCTCTTGCTGTTGCAGACTTCCACTTGGGCTGAATGCTGTCTGAATACCTGCATACAACCAAGTGTGTGTGTCTGATTGGTGGCCTAGACTGGGTCCGTGAAGACTTTGACTCATGGGCGTCGATGTTCCGACATACAGTTGACTTCAGTCAACTGTAGGGCGCAGGGCCTCTGGAGCCATGCTCTAGGGGTTCTGTTCCCCTTGGTCGGACGCAGGGCCTGGGGGCCGTGTGGTGGCCTGCGGTGGCCCCCTTAGATGATGACATAGGCATATTTGAGCGGGTTACTGCAAAAACTGCAGTGGCTTAAAAAAAAAAAAAAAAAAAAACAGCAGAGAAGCCACTTCATGGCAGAGACA